GTTTTGTGCGGGTCGCCTTTTGAAGGATAAAAGAAGACGAAGAAGTTGAAAAAAGAAGAAGAAAATGAATATCAAGAAGTAGATTTAAAATGAAGAAGAAAATAAAGGATAAAAAAAGGAAGGAGAATATGAAAGGATGAAGAAGAAATAGATGAAACGAAAGAAAAAAAAGGGAACATGGTAACAGAAGAAAGAAAGAAATATAGAGAAAGGAGATAGAGATAAGCAGGAGGTGGAATTTAAGAAGAAAGGGAAGAAAAAGAAGATAAAGCGGATAAAGTAGAGAATAAGAAGAGGGGGGGATGAAGGAGAATAAGAGAAAAAACGGGATCAAGATAAAGAAATAAAAGAAAAAGAATAGCGACGAAAATACTATGACTACAACTACTACTACTGTTAATAATGATGGTAATACGAATAATAATAATAATAATACGAATAATAATAATAATAATAATACGAATAATAATAATAATGATAATAATAATACGAATAATAATAATAATAATAATAATACGAATAATAATAATAATAATACGAATAATAATAATAATAATAATAATAATAATAAATAATAATAATAATAATAATAATACGAATAATAATAATAATAATACGAATAATAATAATAATAATAATAATAATAATAATACGAATAATAATAATAATAATAATAATAATAATAATACGAATAATAATAATAATAATACGAATAATAATAATAATAATAATAATAATACGAATAATAATAATAATAAGAAATGGTTACCGATCCAACTAAAATTCCTGCATGGATGACCAAAGGAGTTACCTTTCTTCTACCCAAAAATAGTGACACAAATATTCCGAAAAACTATAGACCAATTACATGTCTTCCAACAACATACAAACTGTTAACATCTATTTTAACAAAACAGACATATTTCTTCTTGGAAAGAAATGACATACTACCACTTGAACAAAAAGGGTGCAAACGAGGCTGCTACGGATGTAAAGACCAATTACTTATTAATAGGATGATCCTGGAAAACTGCTTCCGTGGAAAAAAAATCTTAGTATTGCCTGGATAGATTATCGTAAAGCATTCGATAGTGTACCACATTCCTGGATCTTAAAGTCTTTAAGTATGTACAAGGTATCACCGTTATCATCAATTTCATCAAACAATGTATGTCGATATGGAAAACTACACTTTACCTCAATCATAAAAATGGAACCTATAAGTCTGGCGAAATAAACATCAATAGAGGAATATTTCAAGGTGACTCTTTGTCTCCTTTATTATTTTGCATATCACTTATAGCATTAACCAGCCAACTTAACAAGACAGAATGCGGTTACAAAATAGCTCAAAAGAAAAATAAACCATCTATTTTACATGGATGACTTAAAATTGTATGCTAGGAATGACAATGAGCTGGAAGGTCTTCTGCAAACTGTAAAATGCTTCAGTGAAGACATTGAATGAAATTCAATTTGGATAAATGTGCTAAAGCTACAGTTTTACGAGGATCGCTTCAACAAACTTCCTCTATTAGTTTAGACCCTGCTGTAACAATAAAAAGATTTAGAACAAGGAGAAGCTTATAAGTACCTAGGTGTAAATGAGAGTGAAGGAATTCACCATAAGAAAATGAAAGAAATAGTGCGTAAAGAGTACTATAGAAGGGTACGACTGGTATTAAAACTGAATTGAATTCTCAGAACAGAATTATGGCCATTAATAACCTTGCCATCCCAGTGGTCCAATATAGTTTCAACATCTTGAACTGGACTCTAAATGACATCAGACAAATGGATTCTAAAACAAGAAAGCTTCTTTCTAAGTATAAGATGCATCATCCAAAGGCTGATGTAGACCGTCTATACATACCCCGTAAAGAAGGTGGAAGAGGTCTTATTCAGCTAGAATTGTCATACAAGACAACAACTATTGGCTTACTAACTTACATGGAAACAACAAATGACTGGATGATAAAATTAGTGAAACAACATGAAAACAGAAAGAAAAAATATTCAATAATAAAAGAAGGCAGTAAATACAAACAACATTTACATTTAGTAGATTCTGTAGTAAATCAAAACAGAAGCCAAGAACCAACTATTGCAGCAAAAGATATGAAAAAAGAAAGCCAAGGATAAAGCCCTTGAACAGATGAAACAACGCTGGCAAGACAAACCTCTGCATGGCCAATATCCAGAACGTGCAAATAAACCCAATGTTGATAAAGTTAATACTCATCGATGGTTACGAGCATCTGGATTAAAGTCTGAAACTGAAGGTTTTATTCTTGCAGCGCAAGACCAGAGTCTTTTCACTAGGAATTTTCAGGCAAATATCATACATAATAATGTGGATCCAAAATGCAGGTTCTGTGACAAATACCAAGAAACAATAGACCATCTAATCTCAGGATGTTCTATACTTGCCCCAAATGAATATAAAAATCGTCACGATAGAGTGGGGCAATACTTACACTGGACAATGTGCAAACACTTTGGAAAATGTGTAAGCAAACACTGGTATGAACATCGGCCAGCGCCGGTTACAGAAATAGAAGATGTCACCATTCTATGGGATTATACCATCCACACAGACAGAAAAATTGAAGCAAATAGGCCGGACATTATTGTCAAAAACCAGAAAGAAAAAAAACTTGCCTACTAATTGATATGGCTTGTCCAGCAGATTGTAACATAGCAACCAAGGAATTTGAAAAACTATCAAAATACAAAGACCTGGAAATTGAAATAGAAAAAATGTGGAAATTGAAAAACAAGAATAATACCAGTGGTAATAGGTGCACTTGGAATTATAAAAAAAAATGGAACAAAACAACACATTGAAAGAATCCCTGGAAACCCCAGCTTAAGAGACATACAGAAAATTGTCTTATTAAGTACAGCACACACACTAAGGAGAACTTTGTCTATGTAACGCTAGCAACTTCATCGGAGATAAAAAAAAAAAAAAAAAAAAAATTAACATGAAATGTGGCCATAACAACACACCACGACCTGCCTTAGGTCTTTCCGCAGACTTGGTAGGTAGTGTGTCCATAGCAGAAATAATAATAATAATAATAAGAATAATAATAATAATAATAATAATAATACGAATAATAATAATAAAAAATAATAATAATAATAATAATAATAATAAGCCTACTAATTGATATGGTTTGTCCAGCGGATTGTAACATAGCAACCAAGGAATTTGAAAAACTATCAAAATACAAAGACCTGAAATTGAAATAGAAAAAAATGTGGAAATTGAAAACAAGAATAATACCAGTGGTAATAGGTGCACTTTGGAATTATAAAAAATGGAACAAAACAACACATTGAAAGAATCCTGGAAACCCCAGCTTAAGAGACATACAGAAAATTGTCTTATTAAGTACAGCAACAATACTAAGGAGAACTTTGTCTATGTAATAACAACTTCATCGGAGATAAAAAAAAAAAAAAAAAAAAAAAAAAAAATTAACATGAATGTAAGACAACACACCACGACCTGCCTTAGGTCTTTCCGCAGACTTGTGGTAATAGCAGAAATCGAATGATAATAATAATAATAATAATAATAATAATAATAATAATAATACGAATAATAATAATAATAATAATACGAAGAAGAAGAAATCATATACAACAGGGGAAAGAGATAAAAAGCAAATTATGAATTAACTTATTAATTCGATGATTTGAAAGAAACCAAATTATTATTATTATTATTATTATTATTATTATTAACGCTTAGAGAAAAGCGAGATTTAAGAAAAGACAGTGTTTGACAATATTTAACAATATTCTTCAAGTTATGTTTAAAAATTGTACAAAAGTATAAAAACCTACAAAAAATTTAAGTCTTCATGAAACGTCGCTTGTTTTTGAGAAAAACTGTTGTAATGGTAATCAACGCGTCAAAAAAAAAAAGACACTGAAACGTGTGTAATATGATGGTGATCGTGCTCATCTTGAAATTGAAATAAATATTATTATTACTGTTATCATCATCTGTGTATGGTATGTTTCCTATTTTGCATCCTGTAGAGCCGAGTCCAAATAATGGACTGTAGTTTTCGTTAATTTACCGCCTTTAAAGGCGGCTTTGGCACATTTGTCGATTCCGAACTTCGTCCTAATGTCTTCGCTGAAGGTTTGGAGAATGGTGAAGAAATTTTTTTTCCTTTTAGTTATCATCCTTAGCAAACGTTTTAAGATCATCAATATAGAGTAAGGGATTCAGTTTGCTATTCTCAAACGTGTATCCGTAGCTACCATTGTTCAGTAGGCAGCTGAGTAGAGCTAATGTAAGACAGAAGAGTAGTACTGACAATGAATCTCCTCTGAAGATCCTGCTTTTGATGTTGATCTGTCTCGATGTTAATATACCGCTTGCTGGGAGTCAATTGTTTTTCTCAAAGAAGTTGTACGTCCTCTCGGTTAAGACCCAAGTGAGGAGCATATACATTGTTGGTAGGCAGGTGATGGACCTATAGTTGTTCGCGTTCTGCGTTTCTTCTCTTTTTGGGAGTCGGTATGTTACTTCCCACGTGTGCCATTTGGGGCATTTTTCTGGGTTTTATTGTATGCCTGTGCGAGGTTTTGGTTGGTGCTGGATAGGTTTTTTATTCGGTCTATTCCTGGTGCTTTCCAGTTTTTGGTTTTGCCGATGGCAGCGATTGTTTCAGTGATATTGATAACTGTCTATTTTTAGCACTCTATACATGTGTGTTGTTCGTGTTGTTGTTTGATCCATGTAACTGTTTCATTGTGCATTTTGCAGTTTTCCCACATCTTACACCAGAACTCCTCGACTTCCTGGATACTAGGTTGTTCCTTTATCTCTATTATTATTATTGTTGTTGTTGTTCCCAGTTTTCCTGATCTGATGTTTTGCCTGAAATCTGAGATAAGGAAGGGGTTTTCTTTGATAGTTTTTTTTTTCTTGGTTGTTATGTTCAAAATCATTTCTACAGATTTTGTCAAAGAGCTTATGGCCATATCACGTTGAAACACCGGCTCTCGTTCGATCACCGAAGTTAAGCAACGTTGAGCCTGAATAATACTTAGATGAGCGACCGCATACCAGGTGCTGTAAGCTTGGATATGCAGGTGGCGTGATGGACAACGGCTCGAAATGAGAAATGGAAGAGATGAACTCGAATTCCAGTCGAGCTCATTACATTCACCCCCTTGAAAAGACGCTTAGGAAATGTATGAATCCATCTCTCCTCCCCTTAGCTATCGGTCAAATAGTAGGACAGACTTGGTTGGCAACGAGTCTACCGCAGAAAGTAACGACAGTCTACTGTGGAAATTCTTCTGCCAAGTCAAGAATGAATCGGAAAAAGTCATGATCGCCCAAGAATTCTTTTTTTATCCTTTATAATGCTTCTATTCTTACTGAAATAGTGGCTGTGCTTAAATATTACTTTCTTCTTCTTCTTTTTCTTTTTCTTCTTTTTCTTCTTCTTCATTATTATTATTATTATTATTATTATTATTGAGAAAATCAATGAGATTTTAGAAAGAAAGAAAAAATGAAAGTTTTGTCATAGTAACAGAAATTAAAATGATTGAATAAAGAATCAGAAAACAATAAGAATAAAGTAGAAGACGATGAAATCGAATAAAAGTGCTAAGGAAAGATGGTAAAAATTAATAGTAGTAAAAAAGAAGAAGAAGAAGATGAAGAAGAAGAAGAAGAAGTGGAGGAAACAGGAGATGACAGAAGAAGAAGAAGAAGAAGAAGAAGAAGAAGAAGTGGAGGAAACGGGAGACGAAAAAGAAGAAGAAGAAGAAGAAGAAGAAGAAGAAGAAGAAGAAGAAGAAGTGGAGGAAACAGGAGACGAAAGAAGAAGAAGAAGAAGAAGAAGAAGAAGAAGAAGAAGAAGAAGATATTAAGGAAAAACATAGTGAAGAAAAAAGTGTAAGATGAAGGTAAAACACGGTGTGAATGGAAGGTATATATCAAGTAGACACGGAGAACTAAGAAAGAAAGAAAGAAAGAAAGAAAGAAAGAAAGAAAGAAAGAAAGAAAGAAAGAAAATATAACAAGATAACAATGTAAGGAAGAAAGAAAGCATAATGTGAGAAAGAAAGAAAGAAAGAAAGAAAGAAAGAAAGAAAGAAAGAAAGAAAGAAAGAACAACAAGTGTGTAGAAAGAAAGTAGTACAACGGGTATATGGAAAGAAAGAAAGAAAACGGGTATGTAGAAAGAAAGATGGAAAGAAGGAAAGCGAGTATGCGAAAAGAAAAAGAAAGAAAGAAAGAAAACGGGTACGCGAAAATAAATAAAAGAAAGAAAAGAAAGAAAGAAACAGATACAAGTGGTATGTGGAATGAAAGAACCGACAAAGAAAAGAAAAACGTGTATGAAGAAAGAAAGAAAGAAAGAAAGAAAGAAAGAAAGAAAGAAAGAAAAACAACAAGTGTGCAAAAATAAAGAAGGACAATGGGTATATGGAAAGAAAGAAAGAAAATAGGCATGTGGAAAGAAAGAAAGAAAGAAAGAAAGAAAGAAAGAAAGAAAGAAAACGGGTACGCGAAAAGAAAAAAAAAGACAGAGAAAGAAACAGATACAAGAAAGAAAAAAACGTGTATGAAGACAGAAAGAAAGAAAGAAAGAATTAATGAAAGAAAAAAGAAATAAATAAAACGGGTATGTAGAAAGAAAGATGGAAAGAAGAAAAACGAGTATGCGAAAAAAAAAGAAAGAAGGGTAAAGAAAACGGGTATGTAGAAAGAAAGAAGAAAAAGAAGAAAACGAGTATATGGAAGAAAGAAAGAAAGAAAGAAAGAAAGATCTGAATAAGCAAAAGTATCTAATGCACAGTTGGAGAGAAAAAATGGCGATAGTATTTTTGTCTGCAAGACGCCACTTCGGTGCCGTGGGTGTGGAGTTGGTTTTTGTGCACTGAAGGACAGGGTTTACTGATAGTGGTGGGTGTGGTGTTGAGTAGCACGTGCCTCCCAGTTCTGAGTAAAGAGGCGTATGAACAGGGATGGCGGCGGAGGCGAGTGGTGGGGGGGATTGTGGAAAGAAACGAAACATTTCGAACCACAGGTAACTTGACTCACCTACGTTTGGTGAAGCCTATTTTCCTTGCTGCCTGTCCAAATCAAACTCTCCCACGCTCCAACATCGCTGCTTTCTCAATCTCTCTCTCTTTCTCTCTCTCTCACACACACACACACACTCTCTCTCTCTCTCTCTCTCTCTCGTCGTACTTACTGGAGTCGAATTATTAAAATCTCGCAATTTTATCTTGATCACTTAAGAAGCGGCGATACTGAAAAATTGTTGCTTCAACCCAAAAAGGTTTTTAAAAAAATCTGATGATTTATAAATTTTGGGCAAGTGGGTCAGGCCGATGACTTTTCAGCACCGCCTAATGCATACATAATTAATAATGTATTCTTCCACACTCATTTCATTTCTTTTGCTTTTTTATATATTATATATATATATATATATATATATATATATATATATATATATATATATATATAAGATGCGAAAAGACGAAAGTAATATATAACTTTCAACGTTCACAGTATTAATCCAAGAGAGGGCTCGATACCGATAGTAGAGCGATAATTATTTATTTATTATAATGTTATCATAGAGATAAAACCATTTTACTCACTACAAAAAGATGCAACTTGGTTTCAGTGCATTTCAACTGCACTTCGACGGGTGAGAACCATTTTCGATTCTCATCCGTCGAAGTGCAGTTGAAATGCACTGAAACTAAGTTGCATTTTTTCAGTGAGTAAAATGGTTTTACCCTATATGATAACATTATATATATATATATATATATATATATATATATATATATATATATATATATTGCCAATAAAGTGCTGAATATAGATTAGAACGTTAATAGTTATCAAATTAGAAATAAAAATATTTATCGAATGTCAATTCAGAATTTCGTAATTTTTCAATCGTTCCTGGGGATTATGGATCTCGATAAATATTTAACGTGTTAACTTCTAATTTAATAAGGATTATATATATATATATATATATATATATATATATATATATATATATATATATATATATATATATATAAAAAAGAATTTTTCATTTAACTAGGCAATATTTCCGTCATGGTCACATAGATGTGGGATTACACTTCAAAGAGAAGTTGGACTATTCTGCTGGTATTTCTCGATTATTTGTGCTTATATATTGTGGTGTGTGTGTGTGTGTGTGTGTGTGTGTGTGTGTGTGTTATTTTATTTTTCCTTTTTTTTTCGCTTAATGAGTGTCATGTTGCCTAGTTGCTGACTTCTTTTCTTCTCCTTGCATTTCTTTTATATTTTTAATTTATTTTTTTTATTTTTTCTTCGCCTTTTCTGTTGACCTCCGTATTGCTTTTCTCGTGGTTTATTGTTTTGACCATTTAATTTAAGCTCACAGCTGACCTTTTTGTGTCTGCATATATGTTTGTGCTGGCGTGTGTTCATGCGTGTGCCTATGTATGCATATACATATACATATAAATAGGTATATATGCACACACTCACGTGTATGCTTGAATGTTCTGATTGTGTAGTATTTGTGTTTGCGTGTGTGTGTTTATGTGTGTACGTTTATATACGTTCGCACTCCGATCTGCGTAGTCCTGCATGTTAACTGTATATGTATTTTTAGTGGTTGTATAATTTATCTCTACTTAATGTGCGATTGATGTATATTGTATATTGTTTTCTTGCTTTTCTTTATTATCGCTTTTTTATATTTAAAGTGTGTGTGTGTTTTGCGTTTTGTAAAGAATGTAGTTGTGGTGATTTGTATATGTAGGGTTTGCATGTGTTTTGTATGGCTGGGTATTATTTTATTGATTATTATTTTGTTGATATTGTGGCGGTCAAAACAATAAACCACGAAAAAAACCAGTCCGAAAAATTAGCAGTAAACCAGAGGTCAACGGAAAAGGCTAGGAAAGAAGAAAAAAAATAAATTAAAAAATAAAAGAAAGGAGAACAAAAGAAAGCAACAACCAGATAACACGACACCCATCAAGCGAAAAAAAATAATAAATAAATAACTCACTCACACCGCAATATATAAATACAAAATAATCGATCGAGATATAACAACAGAATAGTTCAACTTCGCTTTGAAGAGTAGCCACACTTTTTTTTTTAAATAAAAATCTTTTTTTTTTTATATCGAACGGCATATCGTTCGGAATATCTTCTTTACCTTTCTCAGTATTTTCTTGTTTAATTTTTATGGCTAATTAGTTAATCAATTACCATAGCTAAATTGTGTCACGCACACACATATATATAGTTCAAGATGGGCACCTCGAGGTGGTGTAATGGTTAGCAAGCTTGTCTCGCTAGAACAATTACGACTGCGTAGTGAGTTCGATCCTCACTGGGTGCCCTTTACTTTCGGCCTTATGCCACATCAAAGCTACGCCTAGAAAATCACTATGGGCACCTCGAGGCGGTGTAATGGTTAGCAAGCTTGTCTCGCTAGACCAGTTACGACTAAGTAGTGAGTTCGATACTCACTGGGTGCCCAATACTTTCGGCCGTGTGCCACATCTGAGCTACGCTTGGAAAATCAATATATAGTTCAAGAAAGACATTTGGGTCACTAACACAAAAAGGGAATGTCTCATATCGAGAATATTTAACATCGAAAAACATAAGAAAAAAATTATTTACTTTTAATAATATGTGGAAATCTCCAAGCTTTGCCTGATGACGGTCGCGAGACCGGAAACACGTGTAGTAAAATTATGGAAAATAAAACATAATATTTTTTTAAAAAAAAATCTACATTACAGCCAAAAAGGTTTGCGTGTTTTTTCTTCGTTTTAATATACACACTTTTCTCTTGTTGGAACTACTATGACCTCTTCCTTTTATATATATATATATATATATATATATATATATATATATATATGTATGTATGTATGTATGTGTGTGTGTGTGTAATATATGTATCGCCAAAATGTATGTATTTTCTGAAAGGAAAGCAAAAAATCGTTACCCCCTTTTATCGTCAAAATTCAAGGAATTATTCGATTTAAACGGATTTTTCAGTAGTTACTCATCAAGTAATTTTTTTACGGTGATGTAAAATCCACTCGAGGTAGAGGTTACAGAGTAAGAGACACAGTTTATGCTGACATCTGGGAAAGATAACAGTTAACCAAAGACCTGAACAGGCCAAGATTGTAGTGATCGGGGAAGCATCCCCTTGGGAATCGGTTCCACAAAGCAGCGGTTTGTGGGAAGAGGCTGCTCGCGTGGAAATTACATCTCACCAATGGAATGCAAAGGGAATGTCGGTGGTTCGCTACAATGGGCGTGGCAGGGCGGATCGAGTGAACTATATACGGAATAGAAAAACTTTGTAGTAATATTTGCGCGTCAGTTTCATCTACACACTTTTTAATATCTCCTGTGTAGTTTTTAATTTAGGGGAGAGGGTCGCAAAATATTATTGATATAATGGAATATGCGTACACCTGTGTACCCCCCACCATCACTGGAATATGATTGGCTGGTGTCCGTCATAAATACCGACGGACGTGTAGGTACGAGAGTCAGAAGAGCCTTAGTCTGAGAGCTAAGTCTATAACGACGCCCATTGGACTACGTCATTGATCTACACTTCTTACCTGCGACTACGACGCGTACCAGTCGATTACTGCTACCGTATTCTACTTGGTTATAGTAGCCAAAACCACTTAGCTACTTCGTTCAAATATATCCCTTTCCGGGACATATTAATTATATAAAAAAAAAAAACACTTAAAGAAAAAAAAATGTGAAATCTCAAATTGTAAAACACTGACAATTCATCCAGAATCATTCCAAATAATAATTCAGTAAAACTAAAAACAATTTTTTTTTTATAGTTAATGATATTATATTGAATATTTATTTTTAAATAATTTCCTTGTTTATTTTTTTTTTTATTTAATCGGTGCCACCCCATGCAGTAAAGCCACTAAGATAGAAGGAGTTACAGGGTGTAGAATAATTAGGAACAGAAACATTAAGCAAGAAGAGAAAAATGTAATCAGGAGGATAGTATATAGCAATTAACATTGCATTTAAATTTGGCTGGAAAGCATGGAATCTGAAGGGAGTTCCACAAGTGAGAAGTGTGAGAAAACTCTTAGCATAGAACTTATGGTTATATCTAGCCAGCTGAACTGTATATCGATGAGAAACTGTCGCCAGTCTTGTACTGCGTTTAAATTCATAAAGTCTATGTACCATAGCGAAGAGCTCATTCGAACAATTACCATGAAAGTATTTATAGAAAAGACACAGGGCGGCAACTTTACGGTGGTGGGAAATTGACTGAAGCCGAGTCGCCAGATCAGGACCAATAATATTGCTGATTCTTGTTTGGATCTTATCAAGGAGCTCCAGGTAAATAGAAGGGAATCCGGATCATATGTGCCAGCACTATTCTAAGCATGGACAAATGATAGTTTTATGTAAGATAGAATCCGGAGAGAAAAATTGTCTCGCACGATACAGTGAACCGACTTGCAATTTTTCAGTGCGATTTTGAAATTCCTTTCCTTCCCATGACTCGTGAAACGTGTTTATCCTTATTATTATTATTGTTTTTATTTTCTTTGATTTCTGGCGTTTACACATTTCTTTTCCGGTCCCGCCTAGGGACCTAAGGTTAGAAATGGCATCATGACACTTTCCACTGACAATATATATATATATATATATATATATATATATATATATATATATATATATATAACATAGATAAAGCCCTTCGTAAAGTGTGGGCTGTACTTGTCAGAACAATTTTTGTATCTCCTTGAGGCATGGACTTCCAGGAATCCCTTTAATTAGTCTACTACAATCTTTTCCAACCAGTCCTAGGGCTCCAACTTCAACAGGGATTGTTGATGTTCCCATATGCCACATTTTCGAGATTTCTATTTCAAGGTCCTTGTATTTTGACAGCTTTTTGAATATCTTCAAAGATACATTGCAGTCAGCAGGGACTGCCATATCAATAAGGAGGCACCG